TCAGAAAAACTTTAGGGTCAAAATTACTGTTCTTGTTAACTAAATTCTGATTAAAGTTTTCAGAATTGTGTTCTTTTTTTACTTAGTCTGAAAGCTCTAAAAATGTCTGTATTTTAATCTTTAGCAATTTCTTAAACACTTGGTAAAGTGTTTAAGTCTTTAAATGAATTGTCTTATTCAGTTGTAAGAGTTTTTTATTTATTCTGAATAAAAGTTTTTTCTTGGATATGTATTTTGCAGATAATTTTTCTCCTAGTTGGTGGCTTATCTTTTAATTTTCTTAATTGTATCTTTTCAGAAGCAGACATTTTAAGTTTTGATGAAGTTCAGTTTATTGATTTTTTTCCCCCTAGTTTGTCCTATTTTATAAATCTTTAACTCAGGATTACTAAGATTTTCTCCTGTTTTCTTCTAGAAATTTCATAGTTTTAGCTCTTTCATTTAGGTGTATGTTCCACTTCTAATTAATTTTGTGTAATAAGGGTCGAGGTTCATTTTTTTGCTTATGGCTATCCATTTAATCCAGCACAATTTATTGAAAGAATATCCTTTCTGCATTGAATTACATTAACATCTTTGTTGTAAATCTATGGCTTTATATATGTAGGTCTGCTTTTGGACTTTTTTTCTTTCTTTCTTTTTTTAATCTATATTTGTACTTCAATATCAAACTCTTCATTACTATAGCTTTATGATAAACTTTGAAATCAAGTACAGTTCCTCCAACTTTGTTCTTCTTTTTCAATTTAATTAATAACTTCAGTTTAATTTAATAAAATTTTCAAAATTTATTGATTATTGTAGTTCCTTTGCATTCACATATGGATTTTAGAATCTGCATGTCACTCTCAACAAACAAAGCCCGATAGAATTTTGATTGGGATTGCGTTGAATTTCTAAATCAGCTTGGGGATAATTGATGTCCTAATGATACTGAGTCTTCTAATCCATGAGCATGATATATCTCTGTCTAGTCTTTGATTTCTCTGCAATATGTTATAGTTTTCAGCCTGCAGGCCTTGCACATCTCCCCCCCGCCAAGTTTATCCTTAAATATTTAATATTTTGATACTTTTGTAAAAGGTATGTTTAAAATTTCAATTTCCAATTGTTCTTTGCTCTTATATAGAAATACAGTTGATATTTATGTATAGATGTTGTATCCTGGAACCTGGTTGAACTACTTAGCTTTTTATAGATTCCTTAGGATTTTGTATGTAGATGTTTATAGAGTATACAATAAAGATAGTTTTACTTCTTTCTTGCCATTCTATGTGCCTTTTATTTCTTTTTCTTATCTTATTGCACTGTATATGTCCTCCAGTAACAATATTGAATAGAAGTGGTAAGAGTTGGCATCTTTGCCGTGTTCTAGATCTTAGAGTCTCAGTCTTTCATTAATAAGTATGATGGTAGTTACAGGTTTTTGTTGATGTCCTTTATCAGATTGAGGACCTTCCTTTTTATTTCTAATTTGATGAGAGTTTTTATGGTGAATAAATGTTGGATTTTGTCAAAGGCCTTTTCTGTATCTATTGATATGATCATACGGGTTTTCTTTTTTAAAAGAACTGTTAATATGATAAATTACATTTGGTTGATTTTTCAAATGTTAACTTGACCTTCCATTTCTTGGGTAAAACTCTCCTATAAATTTTATAAATTGTTGGTTATTGGTCTTGTCTTTCTTTTTTTGTAATGTCTTTGCCAAAGAAAAATAAGTTTGCACAAAGCACTTCTTGCAGCATACCAAAGTGCAGCCTACCAGAGTGCAAAGATTGTCTTGAAGGAAAACACTTGTGTCATTGTTTGAGTTGTGAACTGAACTCACCACTTTTTTTTTTGTGGAATGTCATTTTTACTTGAAAGAATGACTGAATAACTGTGGTTATTCAGCCCTGAATATAGCAGGCATTTTTTTGTAATGCCTTCAAAGAAAAGCAGCTGGCGATGTTTGTTGCTAATGTTACAATTTAAACTTTCAAGTGAATTAAAATTTGGAAAACTTGTCTCTGCCACTATGAGCTTGATAGTTCCCAGTGCTTAAGACTTTTTTGATGAGATTGGTGGCAATATTAACCAATGTAATTTTATAAAATATTGTATAATAAAATGTATTACATTTGGAAGGTCTACTACATAACTCTAAACCAGTATTTTTCAAATGACTAATGAATGATGTTAGAAAATTTTGCATGGGTAAAAGATCAATTGAAAATGTAATATGGACCAATGGATTTAATTATATAAGAGTACAAAAGTTCATTGGTATGGTTTCAGACTGCATTGCAACAGTTTAGTATCACAGAAAAATATCCACGATTACTAAAATACACTTGTTTTACAACTACTTATCTATATTGCAACCGATAGAATGCAGCAGAATCATTTGAGAATCCAGTTGTCTTCCATTAAGCCAGATATTAATGAGCTTTGCCAAAATATGAAAACAGTGCTACTTTTCTTACTAAATTGTTTTGTTTGGAAAATATCGCTATTTTTATAACATTTTATTTAATGGGTAATGTGTTTAATTGTCTTTAAATGAATAAATATTTTAAAAAGTTTCCGAGGTTGAATTTTCACATGATATTAAATATCCATAGATATAATACAATAAATAAAAGGTTTTTGGGATCCTGAGACCACAAGGTTTGAAAAATACTGATGTAGAATAGTGCCTAGTATTTAGTAAGCTATTAGTAAACGTTTGAATGATTCTTGACCATGTCAATTTTATAATTTATCTATTTCTTTAGTAATGCATGTATTGATGTATATCTTTTCTTTGTACCTTTCTTTCATACTCTAGCAATGAAGTTGTTCTTCTAATCTTGTCCTGGTACTGTGATTCTCTTCCTTGCATCTACTCAGGTAGTGCTATTGGGCAGACAGTAAAAAGGATCGATGCGGGGACTGCTGTCATCTTTTGGAAAGTTTGGTGATTTATTGAGCAAGAAAAAAATAGATGAGCAGCTCCTGACAGAGCATGACATTGCTCTTTATATAGACTGGTTATATAAGTGGCCATGATTTACATAGTCACAAAATTAGATTTAAAAATTGTTTCAATTGGTTATACCCTGAAATGTAACAACACAACTGATAATTAGTGACTGTTGTAGATACCTTGCCATTAGTGTATATGTCACAACACAACTGATAATTAGTGACTGTTACAGATACCTTGCCATTAGTGTATATGTCAGTAATATATTTTGAACATGTGGAATACCTTTATTTTAATGTAATTAAATTGATCTTTTTGGTAATCAAAAGGAGTATGCAAAAGTAGAAGACATATCTGTTTGTCGTGGAACCTTTTCACTTTCATAGCATAAAAATCAAGAAAAGGAAAATACTGAGTTTTTGTTAGACTTGAGTCTGCCTACTAGTAGATCATGTTTCTGATATTAACTTCTCTCCAGTCTTTAGCATGACATTTCAAATGAAAAAATATATATGATCCATTAAATGGAATTCTAGTATACTGCTCTATTTTATCCTAAGCAAGCTCTATATGTTTATATAGCTAATATCTTCAAAATTGAGAACGTCTGTGGAAAACATTTAAAAAATTCTTTAAAAAGAGAACTTTAGAAAGCCTTTTAAAAGGGGGTTCATAATTAACTCAGTGTGCATGAACATATATAAAAGGCATTTTCTGAAACAGTTTTGCAATCTCATAAAAATTTAAAAACAGATAAACAATTCTGTAATGCAATTGAGATTAGAAACAATAATAAACCTAAGCACTTTTAAAATAAGCATCAACTCTTACTGAACTGTAGTTAAGTTTGGCTTTCCAGCCTTATTTAGCGACCTAGTATTTTATTACTGAAATGTTCATTTTACAGATTGTGGAGCTAAATTAAGTGTTGAACATAAAAAGTTGAATATTATATTACCCCTATAGTAGAGATGGAGATATGCTACCCAGATTCCCCTCAAAAGAAGAGTTAGTTTGACCCTGAGGAGTACACATCTGGTAACACATTCTGCCCACACTTCCGGATCTGCCTTATCTGCAGAGCCACCTCCCTGACTTCCTTGGAACAGCAGGCATTTGTAGACTGCGCAAGAAAGATATATAAAGAATTGATCATTTCAGCCCATCACAGAGCATTCTGATGGACAATACTTGCTTCATAACGTCCCACCTAATTGGCTGAAATTTTGGGCCTGTAATACAGTTTAAGTTCTACCCAAACTTGCTTTTGTCACCTTCTTTTCTCAGGTGTTGATCCCTAATAAACATATTGTATCCCAAACAGCACTTCACCTGTACTTTGGAGGAGCTGCCTGCAATAGCTTCTGATCTCATGGAACTAATTTTTTGGGAGGAAATATACGTTAAACAAGAGATTTAAAATGTGATCATAACATAGGGTGCTATGTAGTGTTATAAATAGAACCTAAGCTTGGTCATTACACTGTTTAGGGTGATAGCCTGGATCAATAATCAAACCTGGGTTCAAGTGCTAGATTAACTTCTTGGAGTGGCATGAAACTTGAGTATGCTACTTCCTCTTTTCCAAGTTTTTTCATTTGTAACACAGGAATGACACAATGTCTCTCAACCATTAGGCAACTAACCTGGGATTGCTCACATGGCTAGGAAAAGATTCCCAGCATCAGGAGAGAGGATCCAATGCACAGACGTTTTCAAGCCCGTGTCTGTGTCATGTGGCCAATCCTTGATTCAAGGATGGAGAAAAAGACTCTACCTCTCCATGGGAGAATTTGAAAAATAAGTGTGTATGTATGTGTGTATGTAAAAATGACCAACATAAGGCCTGATGCATGATAGTAATAGTTAACATTTATCTAGCACTTTCTGTAAATTGTATTTAGTAAGAGGCAGCTGGACTATGGTGTCTCTATGATCTGTAAAAGAAGAAATGTTTGGAGAATTTGTTCTATTTTGATATCTCAAAACAATTTTTATGTTCGGAACAATTTGCAAATAAAGCTTTTTCTTTTTTGTCTTTTTCCTGCAGTAAGAAAAGTGGAAAACCACCATTACAGAACAATGAGGTAAAATTTTAAATCATCTACTCTGGGATTTCATGCATTTATTTAATTTATTTCATTATGTAATTTTGAATTGAGATAAAATAGAATTTTTGAATCAGAAGGGAACTGAAATTTCATCTCCAGTCCACTACATATTATAGGAATTCTTCCTGAAGTAGGAATCCTTGATAGGTGTCTTTTAGGATTTACTTGAATCTCTGTTCATTTGATGGAGATACTACCTACCAGGTAGCTGTAACTGTATCAGTTCTAGTCCATTATGAGATTAATTTCCCCCTTTAGCTACTTAGTGATTTATTCTATTTTGTCTTTTGTAGCAATACTACTAAAACAAGAAAATAGTTATATCTTCTGAGTCTTTTTTCCCATGCTAAGCAACCCTCATTTTTTCCCAAGTGTTTCTCATGTGGCATGGTTTCTGATCCCTTTTCAATTCTTTATAAATTCCTCTGGACTTATCCTACTCATTAGTTTCTCTACATATTGTGCTTAGAATAGAATGTAGTTGTCCAAAAGTGGTCTGACTAGCATGGAATATGTCAGTATTATTGCTAAAATTCAGCCTCAAATTGCTTTTACTTATTTAACCATAACTGCTATATACTTTAAGGAGAGTTCAAGGTAAATTATAACGTTTAGGTATCTTTCTGATGAACTAGTCAGTTGACAGATTCTCTACATCTGTATCATCATTGATTTTTCTATTTTTTTTTAAATAACAGCTTTATTGAGACACTATTTATATACCATAAAATCCACCCATTCAAATGTACAATTCAGTAATTTTAGTATATTTAGAGAGCGTGCGGCCATCACCACCTTCTATTTTTAGAAAATTTTCTTCTCCCTGCCAAAGAAATCCTGTACTCATTAGGAGTCACTCCTCATTATCCTCTCCTCCTGTGTCCTGGCAACCACTAACCTACTGTTTCTACTGATTGACTTGTTTTGGACGTTTCATGTAAATGGAATCATGTAATATGTGGCATTTTGTGACTTAGCCTGATGTTTTTAAGGTTCATTGTGTTGTTGCATGTATCAGTATTTCATTCTTTTTTATTGCCAGATAGTATTCCATTTTATAGATACACCACATTTTATTCATTCATCAGTTGAGGGAAATTTAGGTTATTTTCATTTTTTGGCTATTATGAATAATGCTACTATAAACATTTCATGTGTAAGTTTTTGTGTGGCCATAGGTTTTTATTTCTCTCAGATATATACCTAGGAGAGTATTGCTGGGTCATATGGTAACTCAGTCGATTTTAAATAAACATTAACATATCCCTGTGAATGTTAGCTTAATTGGGTCTATACTATTAGTATGTTCTATAGTATGTCTGTACTATTCAACTGTAGCAAAACCTGGTCTTTATTTCTCTATTAAGGCCACAATAATTTTATAAGAAACATCAAATTTCTTGATTAATTTTTAAATTCACTTATTAGTCATTCTTTCAACAAATGTTAATTGAGCCTTTCATATATGGTTCTTAGGTCTGGGTACATAGCAGTTATAAAAATAAGTCCCTACTCTTGTGGAGCTTACATTGTACATGTCAGCTAATATAATAGTATAATCTCCTTAACAAAGAAGAAAATTAGAATTTGACATGACTTATTCTTAGATCGCTCATGCTGGTTTTTAGTAATTAGAGTCTCTTAAGTATTCCCCAATCCTCCATATTAATGTCTATTCTCTAACTCTCCTGGAGATTGACATCAAAATTGCTTTTCTTTAGTTTCCATAATCTTTTTTCCAGCCTTTGAAGAATGGGACAAGATGTGTTTTTCTATAGTTGGCATATCTCCATCTTCACAATATTTCATCTCTAAATGAGATCTGAGCAATCAAACTTTGGTTATCTTATTTATATCTATTGTCTGCATATTGTTATCTACAAGTTCTAGTACATCATTGAAACTAGTTAGTACAGCTAAATTCATTCACTCATTTTTTAAACTCTATTTTTTTTTACAAATTTTTTTTAGCATATACTTATTTTCTGGTTGTATAGTATGAGCAAGATAATTTAGGTTAATTAAAATGGTTGGCAAAAAAAGATATAAGACAGTATTCACACTGATACCACATTTGTAAAATTTATTGGAATGTACACATATACGTATATGCTAAAATGAAATCTGGTACTATATGTGCCAAATGTTAACAATTGATATCTCTAACTGGTAGATATAGGCTTCTTATTTTTGCTAATCAGAATTTTCTAATTTTTTCATTGACTATATTACTTAGGAGAGAAAGCAATTAAAAAGGAAATTTTTTTCATTGAAATTTTTTATAATCTTTGGTAGGTTGGGATGGGATGAGACAGTTTTCATAAGACATGAGATTTAAGGAGAAAAAGATATAATAGAATTAGTAAATAGTATAAAGAGACTACTTGATTTTAAAATATTCATTTAATTTTTCATGTAATATACATAATATAAAATTCAAAATACATAAAGGTGAACACCGTGTTGGGTTTGATATTTAGCATTCCCATACATATTTTTATACTTTTGAGGTGTATGTATATATATCTCCATAAACAATGTAGCAGGAATTATTTTACATATTGACAATTTTTATAAATTGAATCATTGTGTGTATTATTCTACTTTTTTTCAGCATGTTTTATAGATCTATGTTGGTAACTGTAGATCATTAATTTAACTATATAGTATTCTGTTGTATGAATGTGAGCTGCTTCCTTTTTTACAATTGTGTAGAATTTTTATTGCATAAATTTACCATAACTTATATAATACTATTGATGTACATATAGGTTTTTAATTTTATGGTTTTATAAACAGTGTGCTATGGCCATGCCACCCTGAATGTCCCCGATCCCGTCTGATCTTGGAAGCTAAGTAGGGTCGGGCCTGATTAGTACTTGGATGGGAGACCACCTAGGAATTAAAGGTGCTGTAGATATATAAACAACAACAACAACAAAAAACAGTGTGCAAGTTTTTTTTTAATTTATGTGTTTAAGCACATGTGCAGAAATACCGAGAGAGTAAGTTCTTAAAAGTAAGTTTGGTGGGCTATTTTACATTTTATAGTCAGTATACATTTTACATTTTGATAGATACTATATAATAGTTGTACCAGTTTACAGTTTTCCTCAGCAATATACAGGAATGCTTACATTCTTGTCAGCACCATATGGTCTTTTATTTTATTTGCTATTTTAAACATTTTTTTCAGTCAATTCTAGTTCATCTCACCTAAGTGATTGACACATCAGTAGGAACTTCTCAATGCCCTTTGACTTTGTTGCCTCCTGAATATTAGGTACATTTTTTTTTCTTGTTTTGTTATTACTTTAACTTCTTAAATGGTCTTTAATGGTTTGTTTGCTTTTTCTATAATTTACATGTTAAATTTATATCATGAAAGTGTTTTCTCTATTTTTAGAAAATTACTGAAAAAAAGCAGGGAAAGTCAGTCGTGAATTTAAAATAAGTTTTTAAGTGAAGCTAGTAGTATTTATTTCTTTGCAGAAGCCCTCTAATGACTTTAGGAAGTATATATAGTTCCCTGGATTGAAATGCAAGGAAAATCAAGTCTTTCAGACAGGAAAGGAATGCAAGGAAATGCAAGGAAAATCAAGTCTTTCAGACAGCTTAAAAAATAGGAGCAGTGACAACATGAGCAGAAAAAAAAAAAAAAGTAATTATATACCAGGTATCTGCTAATATTTTAAAATGCTTTAATGTTACTATTTTATAACTTTTTTTTTTTTAACTTTCTCATTGGTAGCCTAGATCATTTCTGGAGCCCAGGTAGAAATAGGTAGTCCTCTTTTTAAGTCATAATTCACCTTGGAATTATTGTATCTAAGGTTCAAACTAGGAATAGAAAACTCGGTATTGACTACAGGTAGGATGAGGTGAAGAAGGGGTGCAGTGACAGGAGGAAAAAAGTTTAATTTTTTTGTTAAAAGTAGTTGGTGTATATTACCTTCTCTTTATTCTTTTCTTAATATATTTTCTCGGTTTGGGGAAGTAAAATGGGAGATTTAGGTTGAAGTTTAAGGTTTGGCTTGAGGATAGGCTTGCTAAGTCAATAGACTGTGAGTAGGGCTTTTTGTCTGTTTTGTTTACTAGTGTGTCCCCATCATTTACAACAGTGCTTGGACCAAGTTACTATTAAGTGAGAGTAAGTGCATTTATGTGTAAATGAAGTAGATGGGGCCTGTAACTCAGTAGGTTGAGGTATACAGTCTTCATAAGATTTGAAAGATCTAAACTCTTTATCATTACAGAGTAGGCTGATTCTTAATCCTATTCTATCTTCCTGATCTAACTCTACAGACTTAAGACTTCCCTTCTTGGTCTATAATTCTGTACTATGTGCCTGTTAGGATTATATGTCTTGGTCTATAATTCTGTACTATGTGCCTGTTAGGATTATATTCTGTACTATGTGCCTGTTAGGATTATAAGAAACACCATTTCTTATCCTTGCAAACCAGTCAAAATGAAGAAATGTCTGAGGGTGATAAAGTTAATTACTACTCTTAAATATCTTCAGTGGTGTCTATAAAGCACTTAGTTCAGTGTCTGACATATAGCTTATTATTAGTCTAATTCAGTACAAGAACTATTTCCTTTAGGGCATCAAGTTAGATACTAATTTAATTAAGGCATATTTATACTAAAGTTTGTCTAACTAATAGAATTTACTATACCGTGGGTATTTGTTTATCAAGAGCATAATAGTTAACAAATAATAGAGCTGTGATTATGGGAGTTGGGAGGAGGGTTTAGGTAGGGGATGGGTTCCTTCTGGAGTGTCTTGCTTATTCCAAGAAGTTCTTCCTGCCTATTCTTTCAGATAGTCCAAGGGTAATAAAGTAAATAGCCTCCACTCTACCCAATTTATATCACTTTTTTCTTATCCTTGCAAACCAGTCAAAATGAAGAAATGTCTGAGGGTGATAAAGTTAATTACTACTCTTAAATATCTTCAGTGGTGTCTCTCTACACTGACAATAAACTCTACATCCTTACTATGGCTTTAAGGCTCTGTCCTCTATAGGCCCTTGCTTACCTCTTCAGCCTCTCTCACTTTTGCTCTCTTTGCATTAGCAGCACTGTCATCTTGCTCCAGTTTTATTCCTGCCACTGGTTTTTCTGGTTAGTGTTCTCTGTGCGTCACTATCTTCATCCTTTCAAGATTATCACATAGCTTTACTTTATGCCTCAGCTTAAATGTCACCTACCAAAAAGACCTTTCTTATTATTCTATCTGAATCATTCTTCTTTTTTTCATGACTTTGCCTAATCTACTGTAACAATTTATTAGTTTATTTTTATCTATGTTTCCCCTGCTAGAAGATGAGCTGTGAGTGAAGAAACCTTATCTGTCTTTGAATTTATAAGGAAGAGAGAGTGATTTGGCAGATTGCATATTGGAAATACTAAAAGATAAATTTAGGAACTCAGAAGTTTCCTATAATTGATTCAGGGAAATTTGTGTTCAAGATTACAAAAAAAAACCAACCAGTAAAAACAGCTTACTCTGTTTTTGGTGGTATCTTCATATTCAAACAAGTTTGAATATGAAGAGCAGTACAAGTCTGTGTTCTGCTAAATGTGTTATCATCTTGATAATTGTTTCTGTTGACTTAGATGATACATGGTTCTTTAATCTTATTTATTGTAGATTTGTTACAGCTATATTAAAAGCTTTTTTTTTTTTTTTTTTTTAATGTAGAAAGAGGGAAAAAAGGAGCGAGCTATGGTGGACAAGGTGTTTTTTTCAAGGCTCACACGGATTCTGAAAATTATGGTCCCTAGAACATTTTGTAAAGAGGTAAGTCTTATGAAATTATGTTAAGTGTTCAACTTTAAAGGTTACATGAAATCAGAACAATAAAATTATAAAGCTTTTGTTATACTACAGGTCAAATGTTTTCTATATAGGTAATGAAGACTACTAAATTTTTATCTTTAAATCATTGCTTATTATGCAAATACTCTTGCTGTTCAGTGCCAGTTTTTACATAGTTTTCTTTTGTTTATGAAATTTTATTATATTTTATGGGATATGCTAGAGTACTTAAGCGCAGCTACCCTAAGTGGTATAGCTTTATTATAGTATAATGAAGGCAAGATTAAATTTAGAAAGACAAATTTTATTAAGACATTAACAAGTCACATTAATATGGAATAGGCTTGAGGGTTGCTTCATCATATTTGACTAAATATGTTTTTAAGGTACCAAAATGATATCTAAATTCTTCAAGTATTTTCAGGAAGTGAGCTCGTTGTAGGAATAAATTTTATTATCCCTTCCTTTGCCCTTTTATCAATATTATCTATTTGATAAGTATTTTTAATAATAAAATAAAATAATGCTGTGTTTTCCATCTTTAATCATTGTCAGCATTCTCCTTTAATACAACTGAAAATATAACCTTTGACTCTTCTCCCCATACCTCATCCTTTCAGTCACTGGAATCTGACAATTTTACCTTCTAAATATACTTATCTGGATATTATTGTGTTCTTTAATTAGTCTCACTTCAAAGAATCTCCCCTTTTTAATCCTTTCCAGATTTATGTTCTTAAAGCATAATGTTTCCCTTGTTCAAATTTTAAAAGCATTACCTATATAATATTTTAATAGCAAGAAAAGGATAGGATGTTTTTAAAGCACTGTGATTCCCAAGGAGAATGAACATTCCTCCACTACACTGGACTTACTCTCCTTCCCCCTTATGTCAGCATCACGTGGTAGTGATTCCACCCTTAAGAAACTCTAAAAAATAATTTAGTAACATTTGTTTATTCTTAATTAGAGATAATATTTGTCCTGTAAAAATCGGAAAATGCAGATATCTTTTTCTTCTTGTTTTCTATTAGCCTCTCACTCAGAGAACATTTGTCATTATTTTGGTGTTTAGTCTTCTGTGTGTGAGCACAGATTTTAATAAAAATGAGATCACATTGCAACTTTTTAAACCTGTTCCTTGCCTTAGGTTTTAAATGTTTTTTTTTTTTTTTTTCCCAATTATCCTTGAGTTTCTTGAGTTATCCTTAAATTAAATTAGTCTCTCCCTTTCCATTTCTACTATTCTTACTATACCTACCCTGGATTATTATAATCTCTTAATTCATCTTTTTCTCTTCCTTTTCTAACTAATCTTTTTTAAATTCTAATAACATTTGGCTTCTTTTTTCTTATAAGGTAAATCACAACCTTACTTTGCCCTTCCTATCAATATCATCTTCTTGGAACATTCTTTGCTGTCAGGTGTGTCCTCTCAGGCGCTCATGATATGTTTGTGACAACCCACACCCCACAACAAAAACAAATATGTTTAAAATAGCTTAATGTTCATTATGTTTTTTTGTGAATGTTTCCCATGACTGTTCAGCCATAATTAATTGTTCTTTCATTCTACAGCGTACCTAACTTTTGAGATACTTATTTAAGATAGAGGCTTCTCTAGGAAGATTCGTATATTCCTTGCCTTATCACTTAACAGCATAATGCTCATTTAAGTGTTTACCAGGGGTTTGCTGACTGTAAAATGAATGTGAGACATTAACTAGATCTCTGGGAGTTAGTAAAGAGATAGAAGGACCTAACTGGCAAACCTCCCAGTTTTGTCTAGGTGTAGCCATGCCACAGAATCATTTTATGAACCATCTTTGAAGGATACAGAAATACTTTAACCCTGGTTCAAGACAGTGAAATAAACTCCTGTGGAAATCACAGAAGATTGGAGGTGGAGATAGATTAACTGATTTATAGAATACAGAAATGAGAATACTGCATATGAATACATGGAAATTCATACATATCATTGGTGGGGGTATGCCTAAATCAGTGCAGATCTTTAGCTTTTGTTATAGTCTACAAACCCATTAATAATGGGAGCAGTGGTGATTCTAAGGACATCCTTTGTATAAAGGCATTTTTCAGGACTGTCAGTAATTAAAGTTTGCCAGATTTTTCTAAAGCGAGACAAGTAAACTTGATACTTATTTTAAGGAAAAATTAGGCCAATAACATAAGATGAAGGAAAAAATAAGTTATCTTTGTCTAATGTTACCTTTATACTTCAAATGATTAATTTCGGATTGAAACTATATTTAAGGTCTGAATTAAAAGTCAGCACTACAGTTAAAGTGACATCTATAGTTAGCATTTATTAAAATCAGTAGGTTCATCTGTTGTTAGTTAAATACCTGACTTTGAGATGGTGCTGCAGACATTGGGGTAGCAGCTGTCACAGCTCCGTTACACAGACTTTCTTTGACATTCTTCTTTCTTATGGCTTCATTTATTACTTCTATGTTTATGACTCCCTGCCTTTTCTTTCATTTATAAAGAAGTATATTTTCAGTACCTTCACCTTTTTAAAAAACAATATTTGTTTTGCAAAAATTATACAAGTGTTAGATGGAATTGCTCCCCAGTTCTATAACTTTGAAATTAAGCACGTTATTCAACAAATGTCCTCCCTGCCACACAACCTCTTCTTTGGCTTTAGCTCCTATGTTACAGTCATATTGTAACAATTTAGAAAGTTTAAGGTCAGCTTTGAATGTGTGTATTGGAGGTTGGAAGGTAGATTCTCATCTCACACAGAGAGATAGTTGCTTCCTAGCCACTCACTCAGCCCCTCAGTTTTTCCACATTACTTAAGTAGTGTTTTCTAAACAACACTTTTGAACATTTTGTTCTACCTAGAAGCTTGCAATAGTTTTATATTGTCTAAACCTTGTCAGATATGCTGTATCATAATTCATATGGTTTTAATGTATTTCTTATTTTTCATTGTCATTCTTTTTTTTTTTTTTTACTCATAATCCTCATTCTCTCCTTTGTTTTACTTGGTCTAGTTAATATATTTCTAACGTTGTAACCCTCTTTTGCTACCCTAGACCTTCCCATCCTGCTACTTAGCTCATAAAGTGATGCAAATATACTTACCTACATTGGCCCGTTTTCTTATGTTTTATGTGTAAATCTTGCCTTAATAACTAAAGTGAAAGCCCTGTGAGGGCAGGAGCACTGTTAGAGATTTTCTAACGCACTAAACCAAATTTATTCTACTTAGGCACAATTTTAGACTTCAATATTTGTTATTTAATTGACAGTTTTTGTCATTTTTCTTTATTAGAATCACATATTAAAAATATAAGACAATCACAATATATGTCCATTCAGGTAATCTAAATTATACTGCTAGTGTTTATCATTGACTAATTGTATGAAGGCAAGCCATTTGACCTGTCTGGGATTCACATTTAAGGTTATATTAAATGATCTATAAGGTCTTTTCCATTTATATTTTTAAATTCTTTAAAAATTATATTTTAAAATTGCTTATAGGTAAAATGTCAACCAGCTGCATTAAAGCTAGAATAAAGCTTTGAATTTAGAAACCAAAAATCTTTAGCAAGGTAATGTTTCTTTTAACTTTCTAAAATGCATTTATTTAATTTACTATACTTGTTTTATTTTAGACAGGTTACTTGATACTTATTGCTGTTATGCTGGTGTCTCGAACATATTGTGATGTTTGGATGATTCAAAATGGGACACTCATTGAAAGGTACTTTTCTATTTACTTTCCTCCCATATGTATGAAATACTAATTTATCTCATATTCAAGCAATATCTTAATAAACAAGAAACAGATTCTAAATTAGATATACTTAGGTCAAATTATATCTTTTTTCACTTAACATATTTATTGAGTGCCTCCCATATGCTAGGCACTGTGCTACTGTCTGATAGGGATGTTCTGGTGAACAGGAGAGACCCTGTATCAAGCCCTGCAGGGCTGACAGTTTATAGAGGGTTAGAGACAAGGAAACAGAAAATTAAAATTCAGTATAACAAATGCTGTAGGAGGCATTTGAAAAAATCACCAAGTTGGATGTCTGAAATTAATGAGATAATTTGGAGGAAAATACCAAAGCATTTCAGGGAATCACATTGAGAATGTTTATTAAAAGGAAAAAAAATCTTAGACATTTCCTTTAGTTTTTGAAGTTGGTACTTTATAAATGTTTTCATAATAGTCTTTCTATGTATTATTAATCACTGCAATTGATAATTTGGAATTTAAAAACAAATAACATTTGGGACGTTAACATGTATCTATTAATAAATTTATTTTGACATAAAGGTTTTTTTTTTTCTCTCATATTCTTGATTTGCTTCTTAGAGAATTTGTAGGAAGAGAAAGAACACTTTATGCACCTGTTTTTTTGACTCATCTGTCTAGGAGAATAAAGGTTATCTGCATAGGATTAAAACCCTAACCATACACCTCTGCTTATGTGTGAACTGTGAAGGCCTCCCATATCCAACATATGTCTCTATGAAACCTGGGTCAGTACTGGGCTTTTTTATTTTAATCAAAGTATATAAATAGCTTAAAAGTAATATGCAAACATAGCTTAATGTTAGATAGTCTTGCAGGACTTAATCAGAAACATATCAGTCATATGCACCATTTCTCTCACAACTGTCATTCCTGGAGCAAGTCAGTTTCTGTTCTTTTTACTGTTTCATCTCTTACTTTATCTCTGCCTTTCAATGTAACATACTTGTGTTACTGTTTCTAGATTTTTCAGTTTTATAAAGTATGTATTTCCTGCTTTGGAAGATGAGAATTAGCTCTTTGACACTCATACCCATGCCCAGGCTCATCCTCTTAGTGTTGTTATATCGCAATATTTTGTTAAATCAGAATTTGTTTACATGATTGACTGTTGTTTAGTCTTTTCTGGCATTTATAAATTGCAACGTTTCGTATGCTCCAGGGTTTTGCCTACTTCTTACTAGTTCAATTCAAGCTTATTGACAGCACTGTAAAATCTCTGTATTGTAATATGGTCATACACACCACGTGATCTATCGATTTTTCTCTATCACCTCCGCACCCTGTGCCTCTTATTAGTTTCCTGTCTTCTAATGAGAACTGATTGCACTTTAGGTCCACTAAATAGCAGTCATGTTTGAATTTACTTTTATCATGATCTTGGGAATTTCCTTCGTTTCTCTCTTGCATTAACCTGTTTTCTGGATCTTTCGTTTTCTTCTTCCTCAGTTTACTTTCTCATTTAGGCAGATGCAGTCTTTTTCTGAGAAAAGGGTACAAGGGAAGTAGTTTTTGAGACCTCGTAGATCTTATAAAGTCTTCTCTTACTTGAGTGATATAAATATAGCTGCATTTATACATTCCAAGTTAAAAATCAGTTTTTGCCAGAATTTGGAAAGCATCACCCCATTGTCTTCTATAGCACTCACTGGTTTTTAGCCTGGGCTGCAGGATCATCAGAATCATCTGGGGAATTTTAACTGATGCCTGGGCTCATCCCCTAGATAATCTGATTCAATTAATCATTACTTTTAGACAGATCCGAGTTGATTCTAATGTGTAGCCTTAAAAACTCCATGCTGTTATCGCTTCCACATGAGTGTTGAGGCCTATTCCCTCGCTAGTTGCCCTTTCTCAGCAGCAGATCTGTTTCCCCCCAAGCTTTTATGATTGTTTATTATTGATTTGGTATTGCTGGTATTTGGGAATTTTACTCAATATTGATGTGAATTTTTTTTCTTATTCATTGTGCTGGGCACTAGGTGGGCTCTTTTTAATCTAGAAACTCATTATTTTGAGAAATTTTCTTATGTTTTAAAAAATTCTCTATTTTTTCCTGTATTTTTTCTGGAATCCTTATTTGTTGAGTGTTGGACTCCCCTGGATGATCATCTGATTATCTTGTTTCTATACTCTTTTCATTTCTGATATTCCATGTTCTAGAAACTTTTTTAAATTTTATCATCCAATGAATTTTTGTTATAATTTTATTTCTTAGAGTTACTTTTTTGGATGGTTCATCATTTTTGTAAGAATGATTGATTCTTTCAAGTCTGCAAATTTTTTTTTTGGCTTCTTGCATTGTTTCCTTCATGGTCCTTTGTGTATTGTTCTGATCTTTGTCATTCATGTTATAGGCTTTCCTCAAGCAATTTCTCACTCTTGGCTGTGTATTCATATTTAAAAGTGAAAGCCTAAAAATTTTGTTAGAAGCCAACTTGCGGGCTTGTTGGTGGTCTGGTCTCCCAGGTTTGTAGGTGTTTATAGGGTGTTTGTGAGGGAAGTCTGCTCAGCTTTGTGTCTGTGTGCCCTCTTAAGGACTCCCCTAACAAATTCTAAGTTCAGCATAAACATAATTGAAATGTACATTGCTGCTAGCATATCAGCTTTTGGAGGATCGATTTTATTACTGTTGTTTTTATGCTATGTGTGCAAGTAATTTGAGTCCTTTGTATAATTAATCTAGAGAAGACCTTTATGCTTTTTTACGTGATAATAGAGTTTTATACTTTTTCCTTGAAGACTTTATTATTTAAATGCCATATCTATTAATAAAAATACAGACTTCACAACTATAGCATTTTTCATTACCTGTGACAAAATTATACAGGTTATATCAACTGTGAGCAACACTATATTAAATATCTGTATAGAATCAGTCACATTACATACAAAAAAACTGCACAATCGTAGTATAGTATAGAAGATTAGTTTATTTTTAAAAGTTTTTTTCCTTTTATTCGAATTTTTTGATTTCAGGTTTTTGTAATACCAAAGAATATATTTACCCTTCTAAACTAGGGATTTACAACTTTCATTGAATAGATGCTAATAAACATTTTCTCCAAGACTTAATGCCCTGGAGAAAATGCATTGCTAAGAGTAGGTGGTGCATTAATTTAATTGGAGATGATGGATAAGAGGAGAGTTTTTATGTGGCATGAGCCAAGTTATAATTCTCCTACAGTAAACAACTTGCTGGGTAGTCAGTTTTAAATTTTAGTTATGAGATATAGAAAAAATGAAAAACAAAAAATTTAAGTTTCTAAAAACTTATTTTGATACAATTTAAAGTTATAAAAAAGTTGTAAGAATAGCACAAGGAACTTCCTTATTATACTCTTAACCCAAATTCATCAATTGTGAAATGGTCTTTTAAAGTTAATTGTTAACTTGAGCTGCTACATATGAAATATTTAATATTTGATCAAATTACGAGTTTTAAAATATTGTGAATTCATAATATGGAGCAATTTTATTTGAAAAATTTAAAGATTTCTCTAACTTGCTACTAAAGCTACATTGTACATTGATTTATCTGTCATTTCTTTTTTGCTTCTTCCAAAGTGGGTTTAGATTCATGTATTTCTGCTAAAAAAGGGTCTAAAAGAGACTTGTATGGTCCTTAGTGTACTTCATTTTAACATCCTTTACATCTTTTAAGCTTATTTGTTAGCAGTGGTAATGACTTTGGAGTATGGGCAAATTTTAATAAGAGACCCATTCTTTAAGATGGAAACTGATAATTTTGTGATATGGAGGAGAATCTTTCTAACTTGTTGCTGCTACCTATATGCTGTTGATATGTGTATGTAATTGTCAAGATATATTTTTTCACCCATTTGGCAACAAGCAGCATTTTAAAATTATGAAACTGTCTTTTATAAAGATTCTGATATGTATTAGAAGTTATAATGACTGGTCTACTGTAAAATTCTTTATTATTTTTTTTTTGCAGTGGAATAATAAGCAGAAATAAGTTTTTATTTAAGAAACCAGTTTTTAAATTTATAGCTGCTATTCCAATGGTAAACCTTGAATGATGGCGTGTGTTTTACCAGAGTTTTATAATCTTGTTTTACCAGAGTTTTATAATCAGCTTGGGCAGCACTAAGGCACTTTGGTTTTATGTAAAGTTTGGTTCAAAAGATTTCAATTTAAACCTCTAAATTTTTTGTACTGTCTTGTTTTTTGTCTCTAATATTCTTACTGCTATAAACAATATTTAATGTTGTATTTTAACTTTTTTTCTAGTGCAACTTAAAAAAGATTACTTTTTAGCAGTTATATAAAATTGTACTATTAATTTTTCTATCAGTCTAAAGTTACATTTCCCAAAATATGTTCTTTGGAATCCTAGTTATGACGGAGGGTATGCTATATGCTACAGAGCCCTCTCAGTGAGTTACAGTGCCCATACTATACAGAAGAGCTTTGAGAAGGTCTTTGTTAGCTTTGTTAAAACTAGTTTTCCCCAAATTTATATGACCATAGAACTTTTTTTTTTTTTTTTAAAAGACCAGCTAACATTACTTGGCATCATTGTTCTACTCCTTCATGGAAAGCAAATAATTTCTTTATATCATATACCTGTCAATTTTTTGTTGAGTGTGGAGTTAGGTTTAAATCATTTAGTGCAGTGTTTTTCAAATTGTCTTTTATTTACACTTGAGAGTATTAATAAATGTTATTTGGAAAAAGAGTGTGTGATCAAGTAAATTATATTTTTTTGATAGGTCATAGACATATGGTACTTGAAAATTTTTACATAGTATAATGATTTTCAAACTTTCGAAAAAAGTAATGGAAGTTTTATTTTCAAAGTTCCTAATGGATATTTTCAAAACAAATATGTAAAGTAGATTAAAAACAGTTTAAGAAGAGAGAAGCTGGTTTAGTTGAAGTGCATTAACAGGCCTTGAGGCTCTGAGGAACCCCACTGACATAATCCCTGAGTTATTTAGTCTCAGGGTCAGCAAAGGAGACCCGCAGGTCAAATCCCTATACCATCTGTTTTGGTAAAGTTTTATTAGGACACAGCCAATCTCATACTTGGCTATTTTATTTTTATTTATTTATTTTTATTATTATTTATGCCTACAGCACCTGGTCTCTGTAGGTGGTCTCCTATCCAAGTACTAACCAGGCCTGACCCTGCTTAGCTTCTGAGATCAGACATTGGGCTTGTTCAGGATGGCATGGCTGCAGACCATGGACCATGGTGCGAACCCAGGACCTTCTGTGTGTAAAGCAGAAGTGCAAACCGCTACACTGTGGAACCACATCCTCATACTTGGCTGTTTTAGCTCTGCAATAGCAGAATTGAGTAGTTGCAACAGAGACGTATGGCCCACAAAGCTTAAAATACTTGCTCTTGGTTTTTTTAATAAGAGTTTGCTAATCTCTCATTAGTCTCTCCCTCTAGAGATTAATTCTACAAATATGTTCAAACAAATGAGAATAAGAATGTTAAAATATTAAAAAAAAATAAAAAGAAATACTGTAGTTTGTTTTATTCATAGTAACCCATTCCTGGGTTTGTAGAGTTAAGTGTTTTGCTATCTCAACCCCTTTTATGGCAACTTAAGCCTTTTTAAAATTACTGTTTTTACTAAGGAAAAAATTAGTTGTCATTTTAATTTAATTCTGCTATTTATAGAGTGATTTCAAGCAAGCTGTTTAAAATGGTAAAATTTCAAAAACTGGAAACATGTTTTTGTAAGAAAATGTTTTTTTAGCATCTTTTTTTCTTATTGATTTTTTTGATTCAATAAAAATTTCCAGGAGTAATTTTAGAGCTTTACAGAAATTTTCTTACTGTTAAATATTGCTTCTTTTGCAACTAATACATTGCATGTGGTGGTTTGCAGTTGTATCATTGGTCGTAGCAGAAAAGATTTCAAGAGATACTTATTCAACTTCATTGCTGCCATGCCTCTCGTAAGTGGAATTCTTTAAAAATCTTTACACAGGGAAAAAATTGTCTTTTACTAAAATCTTTAAGGATATTTCTATTAAGTTATTTAAAGATTTATGATACTAAGTTCCCATTTTGAATTTAGTGTTATACCTTATAGCAGAATATTTCAATGTAAACCTTTACACTCAATAGAAAAATTAAAAGGAATTATCCTTGGTTTAATTAGACATATGTGGATGAATTTTTTTTAACCTTTAGGTCAGGGTTTCTCTAATGTTTAGTAGCATCCCACTAAATGGCAGTAGTATCCTTTCCTCAGTGTGACAACCAAAAGTGTCTCCAGACATTGCCAAATGTTCAATGGGGGCTGAGTTTGGGGGCATGGGGTATGGCAGCAAATTCACCCTGGTTGAGATTTATTACTTTAGGCCATAATATTATAGTAACTTGACCTACTAATGTAACTTAAGTGAAATTGGAATTTATTATCTGAATTTATTAACAATAAACATAAGTGGTTTAAATAAGTAATTTTCTTAGCTCGATTCTTCTAGTTTATTGGCACTCTAAGAATTTTAGTACTTTAAATATAGGAGTAAAAATGAGGAGCTTGATTATAAAAATCTAATTAATTAGATTATATGTCAGAGATTTAATAAAGCTTGAAGATAGACATGCATGATTTTAGACCATAACAAAATTGAGATAAGTAGCTTAGATAGCAGTCAAGAATTGAGATTCAGCAGAAGACAGTGTTTTCTTGAGAACAGTTTTATATAAATGTGACTTCGGACCTATAGAAGAATTAGTTTTAATATAATGGTGGAAAAGAGTAATAAATCTAACTGTAGAAATAATCTGGAAAATTATTTGGTCTAGGACTTATACTACTTTTTAAAATAAATACAAATGCAGTATGTTTAGAATTCATTGTCTAGGATTGTAGTACTGGTAGTAGGAAACTAAAGATATAAGCACAAATGTCAGTACTCCTAAAAGCAAGTCCTTTACGTTAGATAGAAAGGTGACAGATTTGGCTTTTATTTTTGTTTACCAAAAAGGGTAGCAAGATGCTTCTCATATTTAATGATATTAACATATTCTAAAATTAAATTCCAAGTAAAGTTTAACAAATCAGGATAATATAGCCAATTGCATTTGGTTTAGCATATTCTCTTTGTATCTTTGTAAATTTTAAGTAAAACAGAACTGAATTATATAAATTTGGACTATCAGTTTAAAAATTCATAGGATTTGAGGACATAGCCAGTGACAGAGAAATAAATCGTCATTTAGTAAGTAGAAATGAAACAAAACCAATAATATGTTTGTTTGTTTTAGATCTCTCTGGTTAATAACTTCTTGAAGTTTGGGTTAAACGAGCTCAAACTGTGCTTCCGAGTAAGGCTAACTAAATACCTCTATGAGGAGTATCTCCAGTAAGTGATAACCTATTTTTATATTAAAAATACTTAAATTGAACAGTAATAACTTATGATATTGAGATGTAGAAGTTTTTCTTTTTTCCTGGTTATGTTTTTCAAGAAAATTGTTAGAAACATACATGGAAAGACTTAGGTATTTGGAATCAAATCCTGGCTCTTCTATTAATTGGCAAGTCATCCTTCTCTGGACTTGCATCCTCTGTTTTAAAATGAATTAGGAGAATCTTTGGGACCTCTTCTACCTCCAAACTTTTCTATTCATTTGAACTATGTAGTATTATGTGAATTTTTAAAAAATCATTTGTTTTAAAGTCATTTTCTTATTGCTATTTTAGAGCTTTCACGTATTATAAAATGGGAAATCTGGACAACAGAATAGCTAACCCAGACCAGCTGCTTACACAAGATGTAGAAAAATTTTGTAACAGTGTAGTTGATCTGTATTCAAATCTTAGTAAGGTAAGTGTCTCTATTTTTTTATTATTTGTTAATTTGCTGAATTTCTAATCTAAGCAAATTCACATAGAATTGATTTATATAATAGCAGTATATAAATATTTAATGCTTGTATAAGAGAGTTATAATAGTTTTAACTACAGTTATTTAATTTTTATCTTGTTTTTATAAGGTGCTTTGGCCAAGAACTGAGAATTTAGTGTCTTATAAAGATTTCATAAGAATTTTGCAGACGGATTTTAGTAAAACAACAGATGTAAAGTTTTATCTTGTGACCTGTGTACTTTTGGCCCTTGTTAGCAACTGATGGTCAGTTTGTGTTTCCAATCCCATATCTGTAACACCAGGCTGAGACTTCTTCCTGCCACTTTCTCTGTTTCAGCACCTCTAATTTTAATAGATCATTTTAGTAATAGTGAAAATTTTTTCATAAGATATTCATTTATTTCAGTTTTTTAATTACTATTTCCCCCCCCCTTCCCAGAATATTGCCAAAGCTCTTGACTCCGATGACAGACCTTAACCAGTTTTCTTGCTGCTGATTTCCTCAGTTCTTACTTATCTTACTCAGCTTGTCTCACCACCCTTACAGCTTTGGCTAGTCTTCTCATTAAGCCATCTTTTTTTGCCATTACCTCTTGCATTAGATAGGACATGTAGTGGGTACCTATAAGATTATCTACCTAGCATTCTTTCCCCTCTTCATCTCAGATGGCTATTTCTAACTTTAATCCACATGACTGCCCTTGGTCTGGGTTGGGAGTTTGTTTTAGATGGGACCATTTATAATATCTCTATCTCCGGCTACAGTTGATCCACATGTCCACTCTTGAGACAAAAACAACTACAACAACGCCCCGCCCCCTTTCAAAAAAAAGAAAAAAACCCATATACAAGAGACTGGATCTCATTGTAAGAATAGGAATGCTCCTGCCTCAGCCATGTAGATGGAGGGGGCATGGGCAGTTCTTAGAAAAGTATATGTATCCACAAGAACTTCCCCCCTTGTGATAGGCCCACTACTAAGATGCCTTTTCACTTCATACCAAACTTTATTCTTTATTCAGCTTTCCAGAAGCCTTTGCTAACTGATTCCAGACTCTAGGAACTCTGACAACTACAAATTGTTCAGCAATTCAGCTTTCTTTTCTGCTCTCATTACCACATTTTAAAATTTGTTCTGTATGTGTGTGTACGGGGGGTGTATATAAAATTTTTCATGTAATTCTGGAGACATGTAGTCTTTACATTTTGGCACTTGAGCAAATTTGCAGTTCAGGTTTTATCTCATCTGCAGTAGGGTAAAATATCAATTGTAGTGTTATGCACTATATTTGTTTTTTCAATTACCTAATTGAATTCCGACTTAAATTATGAGTCATTATTTTCATCAATAATTTTTAAATGTACTTGAATTTTACAAGTATATCTAGCTTCTTGATAACTTATAAGGCAAAAAAGAAAAGATTCATCTTAGTACAAGCCAATTAATAAACCATGTCACCTTTCCTAGTAATAATGCAGACATTAGTTAGAAAGAGGTGGCTATAGACTTGTGAATGAACACAATTTGAGTTTCTTGAAAAACACTTCAGAATAGGTACAACTTTTGGTACGTCAGTTGAGCCTGTGTGAGGAGCAGTGCATTAATGTATTATTTTAGTTCTAGAAGTTTGCATTTTACATCAGAAAATTAGATTCATATAGATGTTGTGATAAAATAATAGAATCAAACAATGTTAAGAGCAAGAAGAGCCTCTCATTTTTACAGATGAGGATATATAGAAGCTAGAAAAGCTGTTAGCAGATTTGAGGTTACAACTCAGGTCATTTTAATTCACTGTCTTTGCACTTGGGAAATTACTTAGTTGCTAATGATTAATTATCACAGTAGAGCTATATCTTAGTTGATGGAAAGCAATAAATGTTTTTCCCACTTGATAGTCAGTAGTCATTGGTCAAGCTGTGTCCATTTTAAGTTTCTTGAGAATAAAACTGTCTAGTGCATTTATTGATCTACATGTTATTACAGTACATTATACATAATGGGAACTCTACATGTTGACAAGTATGTGTTAAATGTTGAATAGCATTTTGTATTTAACATATTAGTTTTCAATCTAGGTAACCTAGTTCTTTTTAATATTGTGTCTTCGAATATTTATTTTACAGCCATTTTTAGACATAGTTTTGTATATCTTCAAGTTAACGAGTGCAATAGGAGCTCAGGTGAGTTTACTTTTATTCTATATTTTAAATTGCTATAATGCTGTACTGTGAATAGCTGGATACTTTGTAAGAATTTTTATATAGCTCAAGAATATATTTTTATAAGATGTACCTAATAAAGTCTGGTTATAAAATAATAATGTACTAGAGATTTAAAAATTATTCTAATTTAGCCTTTAAATTTTCTTTAAATCATAAACTTGGAAAATTTTTGTGCAGTTTAACATCAAACATACATGTACTTATTTTCACAAAGTAATGTCTAAAAAGAGATTTGGAGATAGCCATTTTAATGTGAAATTTGAATGTTAAGATACCAGAAATACCTTTAGAATGGCTATATGAGTCTCAAGAATATTTTATAATAATATAAATGGTTGATTCGCCCATGAGCCTTATTACCCTGTCTCTCTGATATTTCCGTTGCTGAGAATGACCTTTAAATTTTTCCTGAGTAATCTCATTGAAGTCTAATTTTAGTCATTTAATATGTGATGTTATTATATATTTATAACACAATCACATGATAGTGTGGTTGCTTTATGTATAAAGTGGTTGCTTTATGTAAATAGGGTGGTTGCTTTATGTGTATGTCTATACATTGTAGTTGATTAATAAATAATTTATATAGGAATTTTTGTTTCTTTCCAAAATGCTGGGGATAGAATTTTTTTATTTCAATTTTATGATCTACCTTCCTAACTTTTAAAGCTGTTTTGTGATCTAGATTAAATCATTCTTATTGCATGTTTTTACTGTAAGCAAGTGAATAGGGTTAATTCTTTTTGTCTCTGTTGTAATATTTTTATGGTACTTATTACTTTTTTTAATACTTAAGTATATTTCTAGTTCTGTTATCTGATCCTGCATTTCTTGAAAGTAGAAACTATGTTTTAGTTATCTCTTTGTTCATGCTTGCAGTAATTGTTGAAATACATTGACTTAGTCATATTTAATTAAAATTTTTTTGAATACACACTGTATTCCACACATATTATACTGGATAGTAGGAATAAAAAGATGAATAAAATATAATT